TAACACGGTTAGTAGCCCGTTAGCTTTCCGCAAAATATGGTGCTATCTAGACAATGATACTTTTGATTACAAATTAATTTAAAATAAAGCAAAATTATTTAAACTTAACGCTTTTATAGTACATTATGCAACAAAGGCGTATTATGACCACTTTATGCTACCTGTAACGGTGCATGCAAAGTTCCCCCATATAACCCACCTGGCCAATAAAGTGCCTATTATTGCCCCCCAGACAGCACGTAATGTTGCAGCAAGCTTGTGGCAAGCTTGCCGCGTAAGATTGCCAATATTGCCGAGCAAGCTTGCGGCAATATTGTGGCAAGCTTCAAATGTCCCACCTACAGGAAGCTTGCCGCGTAAGCTTGCAGCAATATTGCCTTGTAAGCTTGCTGTAATATTGCACGGCAATATTGCCGCAATGTTGCACTGTAAGGTTGTGGTAAGGTTACACGTAAGGTTGAGGTGAGGTTGTGGTAAGTTTACAGATTATGGAAAAAATTAACAAAATAATTAATAATTTAAATAATTAATAAATATTAATTAAAAAATGAAGTTTGTTGCTCTTCTATATTTTTGATACCTAACATGAAACAGAAAATTTTGAAAACAAACTTGGGGGCACTGGGATTTGAACCCGCGATAGACGCGCATAAACCTAACACCCTAACTAACTGAGCTAAGTGGGGAACTGAGGAAGAAAAACTCAATTTTGCTATTAAGGTGCACTAAGAAGCTAACTAACTCCTTAAAAGCAAAATTGAGTTTCTCTTCCTCAGTTCCCCACTTAGCTCAGTTAGTTAGGGTGTTAGGTTTATGCGCGTCTATCCCGGGTTCAAATCCCAGTGCCCCCAAGTTTGTTTTCAAAATTTTCTGTTTCATGTTAGGTATCAAAAATATAGAAGAGCAACAAACTTCATTTTTTAATTAATATTTATTAATTATTTAAATTATTAATTATTTTGTTCATTTTTTTCCATAATCTGTAAACTTACCACAACCTTACCACAACCTCACCTCAACCTTACGTGTAACCTTACCACAACCTTACAGTGCAACATTGCGGCAATATTGCCGTGCAATATTACAGCAAGCTTACAAGGCAATATTGCTGCAAGCTTACGCGGCAAGCTTCCTGTAGGTGGGACATTTGAAGCTTGCCACAATATTGCCGCAAGCTTGCTCGGCAATATTGGCAATCTTACGCGGCAAGCTTGCCACAAGCTTGCTGCAACATTACGTGCTGTCTGGGGCCTAGGGTAATAATGACTACTTTATTGACCTGTGAGCAGCGGTCAATAGGGTACATTTTATTGCCTTTGGGCAATAATGAGCACTTTATTGACCGCTGGGTTATAAGCGGGAACTTAGTATGCGCCTGTACAGGTAGATAAACTGACCATAATACGCCTGAGTTGCATAAAATAAATTTAAATTATCCAATACGCCCCGGTCTCCCCTACATACTTAAATCGCAGTGTCTTTTGCAGGAACGGTTCGGTGAAGCGTCCCTCTCGTAGCAGAGAACGTGATTTTCACGCAAAGGCGTCGGCTATGCGTTGCAAGAAAATTCCAATCTCTATACCATACGGGGGATGCTGCACCGTATCGTTCCAGCAATTGACACAGAGACTGAACCCAATGGGAAATGAACGATTGGTTCAATTATGTGCCATGCTTGGGACACACCTTGCCATTCTTGGAACAATGATTGTTAACCAACATTGGACCACAATTGGTTTTAGCTTGGAATTATCAGCTACTGCCAATGATCGGCAGCCTAGCTTAGGACCAAATATTTGCTGCCAAGAAACCAAAATGGGGTTTCAAAAAGTTCGTTTTTCATTGGTAGCCAATAAAAAAACAAGATTTTGAAAATAATTTTTTTTAATTATTGTTAATTAATTTTTATTTTTAAAAAATAATTTTTGAAAAGTGTATTTTTAATTAATTTAATGTATAGAATTAATTTTTCACCTCTAGTAAAACAAAGGTGATAGAGTGATAAAAATTCCTCACCGTGGACCTCACAGCGGACGGATTCCTGTTAATGCTTTTGACGGCTGAGGAGCAGGTCCTTATAGATTTAGTGAAACAGCTTACAAGCGAGAAAAAATTGTTCAAATAATGTCAGGATATACATGTGCGCAAGAAACTAGTTCCGACATGTACCTTCAGTTTCTTTTACCGGAGGTGAGAAATTAATTCAATACATTAAATTAATTAAAAATATACTTTTAAAAACATTATTTTAAAAAAATAATAAAAATTAATTAATACCTTATAATAAAAAAAATTATTTTCAGAATCTTGTTTTTTTATTTTATTTATTTAGTCCACCATTGTCATAAAGGAAATTTAAATATGTTCCACTTTTCGGTCTTCTATACTTACTGCTTATATTCGTTAAAAAAATTAATTTTAAAATTGGCTAACCAAGTCAGAAATGGAAACATTTGTGGTGTAAATTTTTAGTCTAAACAAAAATTAAAGTGAATTAGTTCGTTTTATGAAAAAGTGACGTGACAAAAGTTGAATTTGGACATGCCTTAAGGGCGAAGAAAAATTTAAAAATGGTATTTTCCAAAAGTCCTGAAGCAGGGTGGCTACATGTAAATAAAATCAGGGAAATGTCGGGAAAAAATTGTTGTCAGTAAAGGGAGAATTGTGACGTATGCGTATGTATTAACTATGCCGAAGTAAAAATTACTATCGTAAAACGTTAAGTCTTTAAAAAAATTCTATCGCTGAAAAATCAATGATATAGTCGAGAGATATCTACAGAACCAAAAATACTCACGATCTGTCCAGTTCGCGCAGAAAGTAATGAAATTGACACTATTCGATAAACTTTTGATTTTAGACGACCCATTTGCCCAAAAAAATGTAGCCAAGCCATTTCTATAATTTAAATTCCTAAACTCTTCTCCGCATTAATGAAATGACAACTATGACAGTAAAATAATTCACCATCACAATTAATACATTTTAATTAAAATATTTGTAATCTATTAATTCAATCTATTAATTCAATTGTAGCATACACTATATTGTCAGAAAATGTCGATATGAACGACGTGCGAGCAAAAAAAATTGCTGCTGATATTAAATTAACACACCGTAGAAAGAAAATTACTAAGTTAGTACCAATTTTGGTACTAAATCCTAATTTTGTTCTATTTTAATACCGAAATCAGCTCTAATTTAGAACCATTTTTTTTACAGTGATATTTTAATTTTAAAAAATGATAGAAATTTTGGTCTTGGATTGTTTGAAAGATTATAAAATTATGCGTCTATTGAAATATAAATGAATATTATTTTCTTTTTTTGAGAAATATAATCACCTATAAGACTTTAATTTGTTTGATTTCGATAATCAATTAATTAATTATCGTAAATTAAATATTTTTATTTAAAACAAAAATATTTTTATTTACATCAGATAAACTATGTTCTAACAAAAGATTCCAGCATTTGATCAGGGTTTCTACGATTTTCGTTTGAAGAAATTCCACGACTTTTCTAGGTTTTCCAGGGAATGGCCACTATATTTTTTAGGAAATTCAGAATAATTATTTATTTTATATAATAAATACTATATAAATAATAAATATTATACAATTGTAAATTCATTTTTTTTTATTCTTGGTTGCTAATGTTGGACCAATGTTTAAAACTAAGGCTTGACAAACCCGTTAACCCGTTAAGCATTAGGCAGAATTGATCTAATACGGGTTGTCTATTAATTAGAATTTTTAAGTGTTTTTACAGTGTAATTCAAAATCAAGTGTTCTAAAGGGGGGATATGGTATTCAATGTTTTTTGCATTTTTAAAATTTTTTTAATTCAATGCATAATATCTCCAGAATATTGATTTAAAATTTCATGTCAATCAGAGTCCATTGGTCCAGACTTAAGGATTTATGTTTTTGATTAAATGATAAATTTCATCAACTGCATGTTGCCTAAAATGTTACAGCCGTTACAGCCGTTACAGCCGTAGAATATACGAATTTGACCTTGAAAATATTGGATTGGCTCTAGTTTTCGATTAATTTATGTTTCAATACCCAAAAATACGCATTTTTTTAGTGTTGCATTCGAGAATCTCTCCTTTTATAAAAGAAAAGAGACAGAACTTAGGTATTCATTTGTTTTCCATGTATTTTTAACGAGATTCTCGTTTTTTTCGATTTTTTACCAGCGATTTCTCGCTCGAATGCAACAAATCGTCTTTTTTTTGAATGAATGTAAAAAGATTAACCGAAACAGTAAATCTGTCCGCATAGGACCAAATTAAAGCTTAAACACTGCTCTTTAACATCCAAAAACAAAAAATTTAATTCATGTAAACTTTAATCTTTTAATGTTCAATGGGACATACGCTATTTCATAAACGTATTGAAAAAACACTACTTTTGACCATGTAAACCAATTTAAATAATATATGAAGTAGAATTTATCATTAGGTCGAAAATTATATATGTTAGAAAAAATCATTCTTTCCGAGTTAAATAAAAAGAGAAATAACTTCTTTTTTACGTATCACATAATTCCTCAGGTATATCTGGGAGCTTTAAAAAAATTACTAATTTTAAAATAAACAAATTAGCCAATTTTTTATAGAGGAAATCGTCTTTTTGGCTTCTAAGTGCTACAAAAAATTTTAAAATAAAAAAAATTCCTCTCAGAGTTACCTCAAGAAACGTCTCCTTTAACAAATGCATTTCTTTTTTTTGTTTTGTTTTAAATGATTCTGTTGTGAGTTATAGCGTAAACAGCAATACAACTTTTTTTGGAGTCAACTTAGGATATTCACATTCACTTGCTCCATTCTCAATATTTTACCATGAAAATTTGGAAAAATATTGTTCAAACGTTGCAATATTATATTAAAATTGATAAAATAAATTTAACTCTCTCTGTATCGACAAAAAAATTCTAAAAAAATATGCATTTTTTCCATCGAATTAACCTTATCCCCCCTTAATGCATTTCAGGTACGTTTAATCTCACCGACAAGCATGGTGAATCCAAACGGACAACTACCAAGTCAGCCACATGGGCTAACATTGGCTCCATTGACACCACCAGCTCACGAATTGGAGCAACCTCATCCTCTTTATGGACAGCCTCATATCCAAGTACAACATGGCGTACTTGTAAAAGCGCCACCTGGTGCAGCTTCTCATTTGACGACTCTCTCGCATCCTGGAACACCACCTGACACACCGCCGGTTTCGGCTTCACCACCACCATTACAATTACATCGAGGGGAACGTGAGCACAGGGATCGGAATGGTTTATTATTGCACCTTCAACAACCAAGTTCATTGGTGCAAGATGAGATACCAGTCAGTTCGGGAGGCATGGGCTGGCTTACGCAGTCTTTGAGGCAAGAACCCCTAGATTTAAGGCCACATTGTCCCCAAGATCAAACACCGGAACCACCACCCGAACACTGGACGTCGGCACCGTCGCATCATCACTTTCAAGAATTGCAACATATCCCACGTCACATGAGGCATGCCGGTTAGTGCTTGTAATCATTTTTTTAATTCATCAGACTTGGGCCGGTTCCACAACTGTACTAACCAGCGTTTAAGTCGATGAACTCGGTCTAATTATGTTACTGAACCAAGTTCACCGACTTAAACTCCGGTTAAAAAAAGTTGTGGATCCGACTCTTAAAAATTTGTTATGATTTTGCTATAGAAGCACTATTTTTATATGACGAGCTATATCGAAGAACCCGCTCTACGTGTGCTCACTATATACACTGAGAGAAAAACATTAGAGCTGTGCAAAATTCGAACCGAACCGAGTTTAGTTCGGTTTTGGGGCGCCGAAACGTCGAATGTCGAATATTCGACATCTGAACTGGGCTAGTTCGAATGTCGAATATTCGACATTCGAACTAGGCGACTAGTGTAAAAATATTAATTTTTATAGGAGAAATGGCTGTTACAAAAGTGCGATTTTTGTGTTTGGTTTGTTTACATTTCACAATTTGGACTTGCCCTTAATGGTACCGGATATCATGTTATTACCATAAAAATCTTATCATCCATTTCTCTCAGTGTACTATTTGATTGGGATTAGTGATTGTGATAGCAAGTAAAGAATTCTTTGATGCAAATGTTCAGTTCATCGGAAAGTGGTTTTTTCAGATACTATAATACTTCTGATATTATATATCAGATATTCATATTCCATTATTATTAATTTTAGTAGAATTGCACGGAGAGAAAAAGTAAGCGTTTATAGTATGAAGAGACGCTCGTTTAATGCATGAAACTTTCCCGCGCGATTTCAGTAGGAAAATTCTAGCAATGAACGTAGGTACACAAGCCTACTACGATTGGAGGCGTTTCATGCGTCAATTCCATGAGTATCATACCGAAAAAGCATGAATCTCTTGCAATCGTAGTAGGCTTGTGTTACTTACGTTTCTCGCGTGGCGCTACTGCGCTTTTCGAGTATTAATTTCTTTCTATAAGAGTATGTTTGACACTCTCTTTAACTATAAAATATTCTCATACTAAAAACAGTTGAATTCTTGCTTGGTATGTCCAAGATGTAAAATGTAAACAAACCAAAAGGTAAACAAACCAAACACAAAAATCGCACTTTTGTAACAGCCATTACTCCTACAAAAATTAACATTTTTACACTTTCTCTACAAAAATGGAAAATTAGAGTGTCAAAGTGTCCAATGAAATCATTTTTGACTATGAGCAATAAAAAGCAATTAGTGAAATAACTAATTAAAATGACCTGTAAAATAGCATTTTTGACGCGCCGCGAAAAATAAACTGTTTGAGTATATCAACCGCATGGATTAAATCTGAATTTTGTTTTAATCTAAAACAAAATGTGCACTTTTGCATGGTGCTGTTAATGCGTTTTTAGTACGATCTGCGCATGCGCAGAGAGCAACAAATCTCAGGTCGCCAAAAATTTAAGATGTTTGACTGTATCAACCGCACGGACGATGAAGAAGTTTTTACCCTTTCCCTTGTAATTTCAAGGAGGAAAGGAAAAAATTTCCCTTTTTCACATGTTGAAGCTCCAATCGCTGACATGGGACTTCTTCATCATCCGTGCGGTTGATATACTCAAACAGTTTATTTTTCGCGACGCGTCAAAAATGTTATTTTACAGGTCATTTTAATTAGTTATTTTACTAATTGCTTTTTATTTGCTCATGGCCAAAAATGATTTCATTGGAAACTATGACACTTTAATTTTCCGTTTTTGTAAAGAAAGTGTAAAAATGTTAATTTTTTTAGGAGAAATGACAGTTACAAAAGTGCGATTTGTGTGTATGGTTTGTTTACCTTTTGGTTTGTTTACATTTCACAACTTGGACTTACCCTTAAGAACAATTGACCTAAATTTTAACCCTTTGAGGGTTCATATGAGGCATTTTTGTGACCTGTAGTCGATACAATGCGTCAAAATTTAGGTCAAAAATGACCTACTTTTATAGAAACAATTCAAATATTAACGCTATAAGGTCCCCAAGGGAATGTTATATATCAAAATTTACGAGTGAAGGGTTGTTAAGTTACAGAAAAATTTATCTCAAATATAAATGCAATCAATTTTTATCTATAGATAATAAGTTGTAAAGTTACGTCAAAAATTTGATTAGATTTGGAACTACGTTTAAAGTTATTAAATGCCTATACTTCATAACACAGCCCCACAAAAAAAAGTGTCGTGCGCGGCAGACCAGACTAGTCATTTCCTATGTATTTTGACGCGCTGAACACGAATCCGAAGTCCGTTTTGCTCCATCACGTCAGGATTTTTTTCTAACCTCAAAAAATCTGTCGGATTTTGAGAGGTAGGCTATTTTTTCTTAAATTAATGGATTTACTTCAAACTTGGTAACTAGGGGTTTTTTGGGTCGCTGATGACAAATTTGAAGTTAGATTTTCAAAATTCAAAATGGCGGCTCCAATATGGCGGACGAATTTTTTAAAAGTTAATGGATTTACTTCAAACTTGGTAACTAGGGGTTTTTTGGGTCGCTGATGACGAATTTGAAGTTAGATTTTCAAAATTCAAAATGGCGGATCCAATATGGCGGACGAATTTTTTAAAAATTGATAGATTTGCTTCAAACTTGGTATCTAGGGGTTTTTTGGGTCACTGATTACGAATCTATAGTCAGACTTTCACATTTTGAACCCCCTGCACGGAAAAAATGTCCGTGCACCGCTTGTCTCACTTCCAGTGCAGTTGATGCAGAGGTTGTCCGATGGAAGTGCATTTGCTGTCTCTAAAAAGGGCCGTATATAATCCCTTTTCAAAGTGTAAGATTTGTACTGTAATTAAGGACCATGGGTGCACATATAGAGATAAACAGTGCACAGAAATTTTTTCCGTGTGGCTGCTCCAAAAGATTTTTTGGTAGAGTGTTGTGTAGCGGGAACTGTAATTTTTTGTTTTGTAATGAACTACTCTCAAGAACTGACAGTTGGGTCTCATTGCATCATAGAGATCAATTCGGCAAATGCACAAAACTTTTTTCATTGAGGTAATAATGTGACAATAAGATATAAAAGTTAAATAATAAATTTTTAAGCAACGAGATAAAAAGGAACTTTAATATCCTTTATCCTTCACTATCTTATTCCTTAAAAATACATTGTTTACCTTGTACGCTTTGCACTTTTATTGTGTTTCAGCACAATACTAATCCTGCTGCTTCGATAAATGTAGTAGGCGATGACAACTGTCCCGAAAGGGGATGTATAGAATGATTCGCTTCCTGTTTATCGAAGTAACGAAGCCAGCGTAGGCGCGCTGCCCTGCAGGGGGACGTTAGGGTGTGAGGATGATGCCGTAGTGTGTCCGATGACGAGTTGACTTTGTCCTCGTCAAACTTGGTAACTAGGGGTTTTTTGGGTCGCTGATTACGAATCTGAAGTTATATTTTCAAAACTCGAAATGGAAATTCTTATATACATAAGTAAGGTATTCACGTCCTTTTATGGTAGCGCACTCTGTTGTCCTCAAAGGATCTGTGTAATGGTTTTCGTTTCAAATTGGTGCCTCCAGGTACAATATCCCTTTTCAGCATCCAACAGTAGTCGGACATCATATTTACATCCCATCTTCCTTGATAACGACGCTCAAATTCTTTAAGATCTTGATGGAATCGTTCTCCTTGTTCTTCACTGTAATCTCCCAAATTTTCAGGGAATCGATCCCGATGCGAGTCTAAGTAATGCATCTTTATGCTCATTAAGCATCCTAACTTACCAAAATTTTTAATCATATCACTAACTATTTGCTCCCAATTTTCACTCTTGTGATTACCCAGAAAATGTTCGACAATTGCTTTGAAACTAAGCCATGCGGCTTTCTCCTTTTTATTTATCTTGGTGATAAATTGCTCATCTTTTAACAATTTGCGAATTTGTGGTCCGTCGAAAACCTCTTCTTTTAGTTTCGCATCAGATTTTTCTGGAAACTTTTGTTCCAGGTATTTAAAACAGTTTCCTTCTTTATCTAAGGCTTTGACAAATTATTTCATTCCTCCTAGTTTCGTGTGTAAGGATGGAATTATCACCATTGAAGGGACGATTAGGGAATTTTCTATTATATTTTTTGAACCTGGTTCGAAAGAATTTCTTTTTGGCCATTGTTTTTTAATGTAGTGATTTGCTCGATCTCTACTGTCCCACAAACACAGGAAACATGGTGTTTTTGTAAAACCTGATTGTTGTCCAAGTAGTATGCTTAAAATCTTAAAATTTCCACATATTTGCCAGTTGTGTTCTCGGTATCTAATTTTATCCAAAACTAGTTTCATATATTCATAGTTTTCTTTTATTTCCGTTGAATGCGCTATTGGAATTGGAGCATAAATATTAGTATTATGTAGTAGTACTACTTTTAAACTTCTTTTCGAAGAATCAATAAATTGTCTCCAATTTTCATCTTTGTATATATTTGTTTTTAATTTATTCATGAGTCCGACAACGTCTGAGCAATATACCAACGACGGATTTTCATCTTTTGTAAAATATTGTCGGAATTCTTTTTCTCTGTCTCGATAAAAGCTAGCTGTTGTGCCTTTTGATAACAAGTTTTTCTTCTTCAACACTGATGCTAGGTGTTCTGCACAATCCTTCGGCAAGTTTAAATCTCTAATGAGATTGCTAAGTTCTTCTTGGTTAAACGTTTGTCGAATCTTTATCTCCTGTTCATCATACGGAAGGTAATAGTCGTCCTCATCATCGGTTCTCATGTCTTTATTTTCAAAATCTAGAACATCTTCAGTTGAACTGTCAATTTCCAAGGTTTTGGGAGAAGAAGGTGGATTGCATGAAATTTCTGATTTTTTTACAGTGGGGACATTAGCATACAATATGTTCTTTTTATTTTTGTTATTATATCCTTGAACATTGGTGTTGCAAAAATAACAATCTTTTTGATTTAATGGTTTTTCCCACAAAGTTGTCTTTATAAACTTTAGTTTATCCTCTTTTTTATGATTCCAACGAGTTAACATT